AGATCAGTAAATACTTTGTCAGATGTGTTAGCCTAGCAAGGGGTAAATAGGGAAGAATTGTTTTGGGCTCAGTTGTGATTCTTGCTTTTCTTTCCTAGTTTACTTGTAAGATTCAAGGAGGGGCTGCAGCTCGCGCCTCTCCCTGGGATGTTGTATGAATTCACTCTAAATCTGCTTATGAATTAATAAATTTATTATCATTCATCAAAAAAAAAAAAATTAAGATAGAAAGTATTCTGTATATAGCATATAATAGAATGTGTTATGAATGATATTATAACAACACACCCACCTTGTCATTTTTGTCATCTAGGTGGGTGCCTAGCCACACTTAGGTGATGCCTTGACAACTATGATGCTAACATTCCTGCACTAAAGAGGAAGTTAGCAACAACCCCATTTTCAGGATAAAAATGCACAATGTTTTCCCTTTCCTTTTTCTTTGAAAGAAGTAAGGTATTATATTTCATTATAATATGGAAAAAGTGATTAGAGAAAGATCAGCACCCGTGTACACCAAGGTATCATACAATGAGAATGTACAAGATTAATAAACATTATATATCTGGAATTACAATTCATGAACAGATTATCTTTGTCAAAAAATGAGTCATAGGGCATCCCTCTAAATATTTGATTAACTAAAAGCCAAGATCATAAGAGTGCCATTGCTGCCTTTTCTATTACATCAATTGCACCAGTTCTTATTTCTCAAACACCCCCGAATGGTCCGAAAGACCACAGAAGGAATCATGTTCAATATGAATTTTCCTATCTTACTAAACCCTTTAAGATGCCAACTATGGAAAAAAGCCTCAGTTGTAGCTGGGAAAAATCCTTTCACTCTGACCGATCAAAAAATTCCTTTTCCAAGGTACTTTGCTCACTAATGATTGGACAGATTGCAAAAGATGAAATTATTTGCTGACTCCATACATGCCCAGGCATAGAACACATTGCTTTGAGTCCATTATCATTACTCTCCTACTTGAGCTTTCCTTGGTTGGGCATTTTCCTAGATTAATGTCGACATCAAAAACACTGTGTTGGAGAGAACATACAGAATTCATACTTGGATCTAGGAATCTGCATGGTTCACCATGATCAAGCTGTTTGAAAAAGGATTGGGTCAATGATCCTGACATGTCATGTCTCATATCAAAACTCTCCTGTCTGCTTGGTTTGGACAAATGTTTTTAACTTGCCATTGACCTAGACAGCTGAACCGTTCTGACCATCACCTGGCCCTATTTCCAGTTGCAGTTTTCCTAAAACCCACTATTTTTCAAAAAAAAAAAAAAACTGTTCACATGGTCAGAGACCCATTGACCCAGGTGGTTGAACTATTGACCCGCTTGACCTGGTCACTAGGTCATGGGTTACAAATTACAATGTATTGAGAACTTCCAAAGACCATAATTTTGCGTTCGGTTGTCGGATGTGGTATCTTTGTTTTTTTTGGCAACTTATCACAATCTATGCATCCCAAGGTGCTTTGCCCTACTATTTTTTTTTTTCCAAAAAAATGCCTTTTTTGGCCCCAAATTTCAAATTTTAGCTTTTTTGTTTATAAAAAGCAAAACTGAAATAAAAAATATAGATTAGACCTAAAATAAGATATATATACACACACACACACATGCGCACACTACATTTAGAATGCCATTATATATTAATTATTCTGTAATACACATATGTGTGTGTACATGATGATGTGTCATGGTCTGACCCATCCGACCTGGACGGTTGAACTGCTTAGTCGTGGCTCGGAGGGAAAAACAGTTCAGCCTATGGGTTGGTTTTTAAAACATTGGGTTGGACACAGCTTCTCCTTGATGCTTCCATGCATTTTTATTGTTAGCTGCCACCAGGCCATGGATCCATCCAAAACCACATCTGTGAACCATTTCCAATCATGTATTGAATACCTATCATGAATTTTTTATTGGTAATTTCCATATTTAATAATTATGAGAGAAAGACTAATATAGCAGTAGGGGCTTGTGTAGAAAACCCTGAAAGGTATTGATTATGATTTGCACGCCTCTATTTCATTTTCATATTTCTATTATATCTCCCGGTTTGTGATCCCTCAATAGAATTGACTACTATTTACATCCTGTCTAGCTAAAGGATTTGCTAGACCATTGACTGATCTTTAACGAAAGGACTCAGATGGACTAAACAGAACTCTGACTCCCAGACCATAAATGAAAAGAATATCAAGGTAATAAAGAGGTTCATCTGTCCTAACAATAACATACCAATAACATGAACAAGGCCTTGGTATGCTAGGTTAGCTAAGGGATACCATGTAGATACTGCTTTTTAGCAAAATAAAAGCTCTACCTCTCCACTATTGTCCTTTTATCCGCACCTATTTCTAGATACAAAGAGGAAGAATATCTCATTCTTTCCATTCTGCAAAAACCTGGTTATTTAACTGCAATTTAGTTGCATTGTAGAGGGATTTGTAGGGGCCATTTCTTGGTGTAATGGCCATATCTAGGGCTGGCAAGTGTGAAGCACAGGTTCAAGTCTGAGAGCCGCCACTATGTGCAAAAAAATGCCAAAAGGCCGGACCATATCTAGTCTACCCCTCCTAACCCCTGATAGATGGGACCTATGTTGTGTAATGGCCTTTACATGATAGCTTTTCTATAATAATCGTCATGTCCATCTGTGTTCGTTCCTCTCTGTGACTGCTAGTGGGGAGACGGTGCAAATTAAAATATGTGGTTATAAATTTATAATTTTAAAAAAAGTAATTTTGCTTCTCTTATGGTTGTTTTTGTATACTTTCATTTCTTCCAGCATTGGGTAGTCTTAAAGTCCCTATGTGTCAGGAGATTGGAATCTCCTATTTGATAAAATGATTTCAAATTGAAGGTTGTTTTCTGGTAGGGTTGAAGAATTTTATGGCTGAAAACTTCTCATGATTATAATGTATCATAGTACGTGAATCTGCTCATTAATTTAGAAGGTTGGTAGTGGGTTAACATTTTAAAAATCTCTTAATAAAAAAGCCACCTTTCGTATTTCCATTTTTCTGTAATTGAAATGTTTCTGAAGATGTTGGTTGATTTAATGTTCCCATGGATATGATGGATGTATGCTATTATGCTTATCCATGTAGGTTGGAATTCACTACAGTGGAAAGTTCTATGAGTTTGTTCCATGGAATGGTGTCGTTAATTGGGAAATTGCTCCATGGGGTTATTGGCAGATGTCTGCAGAGAATGAAACACATAAGGTGATTTTATTTGTTAATTTTGTTTTGTTTCCATGCATGCAGGTGCAGCTGATATTAAGTGACAATTTTCTTTTTCTTCTGCCTCTTCCCTTGATCATCACAATTTGCAATCCTCAAAAAGATTTTATTGAAGCACAAAAGCCACCTGAGGTCCTGTATGACATACCTCCCTTTCACACTCATACAAGGGGTAGAACTCCTAGAACCGTGTGCTAGCAACTCTAATGATTGTGAACTCAAGCAAGCCACATCAAAGAGAGAAGAAAAAGGAACCATTGGGGCACATAGAAGGCTAGAAACAAGTGATTAATTGATTCCTCTTCCTCTTTGCACATTGTTCATCTATCAGAACCTGCTGATCCATGTGATTAAGGTGATCAACCATAAGCAGCTTATCCAAGAAAACCAATGACATAGAAGTCTCTACCGTAGGAGGGATTTAGGCTCCCTGGTGCAAATCATGCCAACCTCCCCAAGACCTTACCAAGGGAAATATAGAAATACATAACTGATAACTTTCCTATAGGATTCCATGTTATCATTATCACTATTGGGCCAAAAAGAATTCCTCAATGATGCTACCAACTTGCAAAGAGTCCTTGTGAAGACTAGGACTGGTGTTACCAATGCGATGAAGTGATAGATTGTTGTTTTGGTGTGTAGTCAATGCGATGACTCGTCAGTGCCTAGGAGGTGTTTAAGATATTGATGCAATCTTGTAAATAAGTTATTATTAGATTAAGTGTGCCATGAAAGAATGGTATTGATCATTTAGTTTACAATCATTGTTTTGCAAACACAACAAGGTTAGCCTGGATAGGCTTAGATAGGGAATTATAGCCTTTGTTTTCCTAAGAAAGAGTGCAACCATAACTACTAAGTATGCCCTTTGTGGAAAGTACCAGCAGTACACTACTGAAATAAAACTTAAAAAATTCCTCTATTTCCTGTTTTATTTTATATGCCACCAACCAATCATTTTCCATCACAAATATTTAAAGCAACAGCATGAACATGGGTGACTTTGTGAAAGTATTTGTGATGACAAATATTTTCTATGACCTCTAGAATTCTGCACCTTCAACATGGGGCAAAAGTGAACTGGAAGGCTTGCTAGAGTGCTTTCAGTAAGGGTAATACACCCACCAAAGGAAAGAAAACATCTTTTCCATCCCATGAATCTCTGATCAAATAAAAGGCATGGCCAGGAAACCATGTTACAATAAAAAATATTTGCTCGATTTGAAGAGTAGTCTATATGAAAGAAAGGAACATACAAATTACAAACTGATCATCAACATTAATTTGTAAATAGATAAAAGTAGTAACTACAACAAAGTTTTTATTACTAATATCCATTTACAATAAATTTATGGTATATATTTTGAAGCTTTAATTATAAATTAAGGGAATTGCTTTTGCTTGACAGGTTGAGTTAGAAGCAACTACAAAAGATCCAGGTACTACATTGCGTGCTCCTACAAAAGAAGCTGGTCTTGCTCCAGCATGTAAAGATACTTGTTTTGGTGACTTGAGATTACGGATGTCTGAAAAAAGACATGATGGCAGTGAGGGCAAGGTCTATTCCATTCCTTGTGCTTAAACATTCATTTCATAAATTAAAGTCACTCTTTCACTATAATGTGGTTGGTTTATAGTCGAAGACATGAATGCATGTTGAACAAAATAACATGCTAATCTTAAGTGAGTCTTAAGGGATTATATGGTATGGTAACTTTATGGCTTTACATACACAGATACGCCAAGTTCTGTAAGTTCAGGGATTTCCAAACCTCTTTTTTTTTGTTGGTGCTGGCTATCCAGGGTCTTGGGAGGGGTAGAGTGGATACTGATCTTACCTTTGGCATTTTTATATGAAGTGGCCATTCTCAGGCTCAAACCCGTGTTCATGCTTGTCAGCCTGAGGTTTTACCATTGCAGCAAGCAGTGGCCCTATCGTTGACTCATTAGGATTTAATACTTGTTATTATTAGATTTATCTCTAAACCCCTCCAAGCTATTGCTTGGCGTTTATTTGAATGCATCTTTACACTTTTATCCTGCTTCCTTGACAGATTATTCTGGATGTTACAAGCAATATGGCAGCACTTGAAGTTGGTGGAGGACCATGGTTCAACACGTGGAAAGGTAAGACATCTACTCCAGAGATTCTGAGCCAAGCTCTCAGAGTGCCAGTTGATGTCGAGGGTATTCTTGGTTTTGTTCCAATTATTAGACCCCCTGGTCTTTAGACAATTAATTGATGTCTACTCCTAGTGTTGGAGGGAATTTATTGTAAAACCATTAGGAGTTTAAAAGAAGCCCAAGTATGGTGTAGTATTTCAGTCTGGATCTTGTAACTTAAAAAGTACCAACTGATTTTACTTTAAGACGGAAATTGATCCTTTCTTTTATTTGTTCTTTATTATTATTGGATGTCGTGGTAGGCAAATCTATGATGCCAGAACCCCTCCCGGGTGTATATTTTGATGAATACCAGCTGATTAGTTACCAAATTACCACTTGTATGATCGGTTCTCAGTTGTTTAGGTATCAATCGTAGTGGACTCGGCTAGTTGCTTCTAATTGGGCACTGAGATGGCTGCAGATGTATTAATCTAAATCGTGGCTATATATGATCTCGTGCTTATGTCTGATACTTGGGCGGGTCCAAGTAGGGGTGTCAGTTGAACTGGATTTGGTTCAATCCAATTCAATCCAATGTGAGTCCATTATAAATGGATCAGGTCCAATCTAATCCAATGAATATTTTGGACCGGTCCAATTCAATGTCTGGATTGCCCAATGTGTCAAATTTGTTTTAATTTAGATTGGTTTTCATCCAAACATGGTCCATTGACACTTATATTCTTATCTTTTATTAATGGACCAGATATTATCTCAATCCAACCAAATCCAATATAAATTCATTACGGATGAATCAGGTTCAATCCAATTTAATAAATACTTTGGACCATTAAGTCTAGATTGGTTCAATTCAATGTCTTGTTGGTCCAGTCCATCCAATTCATCTAAATTGATTTTGGTTTGGATGGAGTCCAATTCAAAACTGGTCTATTGACATCCTAGGTCCAAGTGCCCAACTTGAGCAGTTGAGCCCAACCCGAGTTTTGGGCAGCACAGGTTGGGTTTGAGTTAAATAAAACAAAAACCCAAGGTTCAATTATGATGCTGGAAAGACATGATTCCGGAAAGACTTGTAACCAAGCAACAGGATCATAAAGGTAGTAATCAATCAGGTGGGTTCTAATCAAAATTCATGGAGGGTTTTGATTGGTCAAAGCCTTTCCAGCATAGATTTTTCCAACTTAAGATAACATCTTTTCTAATTGTATATATGTATTTATTAATGCCATCTCTGCACAACATCATAGATTTATCCAACTTAAAAAACATTTTTTAATTGCATATATGTACTTATTAATGCCATCTCTGCATACTAGTCCTAATAGAAGATTGATGTGCAGTGTTTTTAAACTCTGCCAACTCGGACTTGCCCAACCTGACCAATCCACCCGAGTCCGACCCCGCCCGAGTTATATTAAGTTAAGCTCGGGTTGGGTCAGGCCTGAGCCCAAGAATTGAGTATGTAGGATTGGGCTTGGGTTGACTCTCTACCTGCCCAATAGCCCGAGTTGCATCCCTGTGCTTAAAGACAGACTCGATTCCCTGTCTCCCACTCCGGGCACAAGAAGAGGGAGAGAGAGAGAGAAGAAGAAGAAGAAGAAGAAGAAGAAGAAGAAGATTGTTGGTTAGACACAAAATGATCAGCCACAACTGCTATTACTCCATCGAAAATAATATGCCCAAAGACAAGAAGAAGAAGAAAACAACCAAGGTTGTTTATGTACAACTTAGGTGTTCGGTGGTGGATGGTTGCTTATAGTATGGAATACCCCTTCCAGTTTTAATTTCGTCCGCACCAGAATGTTTTATGTTTATTCTGTTTATAACTAAATAGATATGTAACTAAATTAAATCCATCTGGTAGTATTTTCATTTTTGGGTTCTATGGAGCTACATAATCAGGATTCGACCATCCCAACTTTGGTGCAGGCAGGATTCAATCCCAAGTCTCCGCTACAACCAGTCAAAGACCTATTCAATCAATCAATCAGTTGGCATCTTGGTATTGTTGTAAATGTGTTTTCTGTTTCTAAAACTGAAACCAAAAACATGTCCTCAAGTTTCTGGTTTGAAAAATGTGTTCTTTTTATTTTAAATCATATAAAATATCTTATCATTTTCCGTGAAATCACAAAATATTTGTACTCAACATTGTTTTTACTTTAAAAACCATCATTTTGATGGTTTTAAAAATATGAATTGTTTTTTGAAACAAAACCAACAGGGGGTAGTCCATCCCCTTTCCCTTAACCCCCCCAACCCCCGGTGGCAGTGGGATTTGATACCAGGTCTCTACTCCGATGAGTCAGAGAACCTACCAACTGAGCAAATCAATTTATTTTTCTACTTCTCAAAACAAAAATACAGCTTGAGAACCTGTATTTGTTGTTTGATTTGGCAATTTCAAAAACAAAGGAAAACAAAAACACCCACCTTTGTAGTGTGATTGCACCTCTACAAGAAAGTATTAAATAGTTGGAGTAAAATTCTTGCATGTTTATGGATCTTTTGCAAAATAAATGATAGGTATTTTTGAATTGACAAATCTGGTGTTGTTTACAAAATAATGTTTGATTCTGTGAGCGGAAAAAGATTCCAATATTTTTCTGACCAAATTGTTCCTAAACTAAGTTTTTCACATTCTTCCTCCATCTATCTTTTGACACTCTTGTCTTCTCGTAAAAGGAGCTCATGTAATTGTTATAATGATGTCCTCCACACTAGAGTCAAAGAAGATCAGATTCAAAAAAACAAGAAAACCAGGATAAGGAAATGTATTTTAATACCCAATAGATCTCTAAGCTCGACTCCTCCGTTCCCCTTAACCCTAGATTTCACCTTTCTTCTCAAACTCATTCTTCAATTTCCCTTCAAAATGTGGATAAATAGATCAAATTCAACCAAGGTTCAAAGTATCGACATGTATCGACCCATATCGGCTGATAAGTATTGTTCCGGGACCCCTCCGATATGCCTCTACAGTGGGTGTATTGGAGGTCTGACCGGTTCAGGGGGTAGAGGAGACCTAAACCGTCCCCCCTGAACCGGTTGCGGAAATAAAATAAAAAAAGGCCTAAAAAACTGTACTGATTAGCCCGTTACACCCATTCCGGCATATCAGGTGTATCGATATTTTGAACCTTGAATTCAACAATTAACCAGTTCTAGAGAAGAAATCCTTTATGGTGCCCCACAAGAGAGCTCTTCCTTGGTCTAACTCTAAGGCTTGTATAGAAGATGAACTACAACCAAGGCTCAGTTTGGAAGGAATACAAATACAAATTTGTACAGTGTAAATACATACAAAATAATACAAAATGTAAGGTTTTGCACTCTACATATATTTGCATTTCTTCCAAAACTGAGCAAATATGTAGAGTGCAAAACTATGTATTTTGTATGTAATCAATCACATGTAAATTTATAAATTTTAAGTACTAAAATAATTATTTTATTATTAATATTTTATTTGTGTAATTTTTTTGAGATTAAAATCATCTTTTTGTTTAGTGTGGATTTGATAAATTACTTATTCTATTAGTTTATGAAAATACTAATTTTAAATATTATTCTTCCTAATTTATAGTTGGAATTATTACACATAAATATGCATTATTTATTTGAATTACATATAGATACTAAAATTAATAAAGTTATTTTATTTTATTTATTATAAAAGAACTAAGATGGATTAGTGGTTTAAAACTGTATTTAAGACTTGAATGCATTTTGGGCCATTTGGGCTAGCTTCAAAGGAGTTACATTTTTTTTTTCTTTTTTGATAAAATAAAAAGGGGCTAGACAAGATGGGGGCAGCACGTTCCCAAAAATCAGTAAAGCAAATAAAATTAAGAGGCCAGACACCCATCAATAATGTTCTTCAGTCTCCAAAGTAGGTCAATTTTCCTCCCCAAATAGTCTGTGACGAGCTTCGAATCACTTTTGAAGATAATGGGTTTTCTTTGAAATTGAGAGCAATGTTATGGCCTTCCCAGGCTTCAAAAAAGATTAATAAAAGAGAACCCAATACTAAACACTTTCAAAACAAGGACAGATCCAAGATGGTCCTAATCATGCAACCTATAGAGCACCATCCATCAGATTTGTAAATGACACATCAAAGTTAGTTTTACTATAACCCATATGGGGCATCTCCAAAAGAAAGGAACCAAGATTTACCCTCAATAGGTTCCAAATCAATACATAGCTAGTTTGATCTCCATAAAATAATTCAAGGATGTCTCATACCAAATGGGCAGGGGATTTTGTTATTAAAATGCTTTTCATTTCTGTTTTTCCAAAGATCATACATTCTTCCTCTCCAAAGGGGATCATCATCCACTCCATTCAAAATCAATAAGGCCGCCCAATAGCAAACCAAACTTGTTTTGCAAAAGGGAAAATCTATGATATCAAAAAGACATGGTATCGAAAGAGTTTTGATCAATCAAAGCATTCCCGTGAATTTTGATGAACACCACCTGATCGGTCATCTCTTTTATGATACCAATTGATTGACCTGACCGCAACTTGTTTCCGATATCATGTCTTTTCGGTATCATAGTCGAACACTTTGCAAAATCACAATTCTTAAAAGGAGTTGTGTAGTGTTCTCTCAGAAAGACGCACTTCCAACTGTTATCAAAAATAAATAAATAAGACAGTTTTCATGCCTTAATTAGTGGAGTTTGAAGCATTCCTTTTTTCATTTAAGAGGGCGTTCAATAGCGTGGTCTATACAAGGCATGGTGTGTTTGATCCAAGGTTTTTAAAATCGAACTGGATAGGGAACTGTTCTGGGTTTGGTTTCTGGGTCGAACGGTCTGACCATCCAGTCTGAATGGATAGCCTGTTCTAACAAAAAATTAAAAAAATTAAAAAAATAAAAGCAACTAAAAACCATTGTTTGGGTTGACGGTTCGACTGCCTGAGTCAATGGTTTGCTCATCAAATCAATGATTTTTGGCCAAAAAGTGGTTTTGGGGTAAAACAGAACAAGTCAAGTGACTAGTTCCCTATTTTTCCGGTCTGGTCCGATTTTAGAAACACTGGTTTGATGTATTAAGTCTACTTGGTGTGGATGAAATTACATGGATTGAACTAGGCAGCATTTTTACAAGATGTTTTGCATTGTAGTATGGATAATGATACTTGGTCCATATATTTTTAAATAAAACATTTTGGGAGAATGATGGTTCAGCCCAGGGTCAAAATTTGTAGGCCTAAAGTACTGTTGGAGTAGGTGCCAGTTCGGAATTGATGCCAATTTATGAGTGGGCATTGGTGTATAGAATGTGGATTATTGACATTTTGAATGTTTATAGCTCTCCAGTGAAAATCAGAAATCTGCATTAGGCTTATCCGTACTTTTCCGAAATATTTTCTGAGGGAATAAAAAAGGGGTAATTTGAATTCAGTCCACCTCAGAATTCATAAAGCGATCGGACCGTAAAAACTAAAAAGGCCTAAACAAACCTTAGCTGGCGGTCTGTTCGTTTGTGAAGAGTGAAATGAAAGCCAAATGACAATGATCCCCACTAAAAGAGTGAAGTGCAAGGAAGGTTGTTGGTTTGAGAGGAGCGAAATAGAAAGTAAAATGATTTGGTCCTGGTGCAATTAAAACAGTCCCCACTTTACTGGAAAGAGTCGTGAGATAGTGAGGTAATAGGAAGCTGGGGCAAATTTTGCTATTAGATTTTCATATGCAAAATTTATACTATGAATTAATGCATATGGGATAAAAAGTACAAAATTTACTGTTTGCTTGCAATATAAATGTTGAACTGGGGTATTTATGTACACTGGTTCGTGTTTGCGAGTATTTGGTTGATATGTAAAAAAGTAATGATTATCAGATCAAAAATGTATTTTCTAATACTTTTGTATTTTAAGAAAGCATTATTATACCTATTATTTGGATATAATTTTATGTTCTTTTGATAATTAACATTTTTATCAAAGTTAAGGCATTGGAGCATTTAATGATGGGCCCACACTTTGCACCATTTTCAAACAAACAAAATGAGTGCAAAAAGGATTTAAAATATGAATCGTGTTTGCATTCATAAACTGAAAAAGGATAAATATGCAATGTACATATTGACATTTGCATTACAACTAAACCCAACCTAAATTACAAATCTGAACCAAATTCAAAATTTGCATCCCGTTTAGATTTGTGATACAATATTTGCAAAGTGCAAACAAAGTGGATTCTCTTTTTTGGAAAGTCAAACAAACAGACCTTCCTGAAATGGGCTGTCTTGATAACGACTTATAGAACTAGAAGACATTGAATTCCAAGTTCCAACTTCCAAGGAGTCCCGTGACAAGGACATTGTGGGATATCTAGATTACATCCTGACAGGTCCAACTGAATCATGGGCCTCACCGCTGGATTTAAGCCCATTACAAAACTATGCCTATATCTATGACCAATTCACCATTCCACGTTCAGATTCAGAGGGTGCATTGAATTCAGATCTGGACCATGACTGGATTCCTGAAACCTCAAAAATCAAAATGACTTTGGGGAACTCTAAAAGAGGTTATCGAAATGCAAAACCAGATCATCTGACACCATTTATCATAGAAATCCAACGTTTTCAAAACCCACATCAAAATAATCCCACCTAGAAAGTTGTAAGGTTTCCTGATATCTAATCATATAAGGGTGCAAATGGATCGGATCATGATCCAATTCAATTTGGTTGAATTCGGATCACCTCTGATTGGATCTTCTGGTCGGATTCGGATTATTTCCTTATCCAATCTGAAAAGATCCAACCCGATGTATTATATATTTAATTATTTATAAATATATATATATATATAATACATATATTTTTATTTATTTATTTATAAATATATTATTTTTATTGTATTTTTATAAATTTATTTTTCATAATATATATATATATATATATATATATGATGATGATAAAAATAATTAAAAAATACTTATATTTTTTATTTTTTCTTTATTTAAATTAGTATATTTTATTTTTTTAATAACTTATTAATTTTTAAAGAAAATAAGTAAGATCAAAACAGATCCAAGATCAAATCCTATCAGATCCTATATCTAATGTGACTGCACCTTCCCGCAATAAATACAATACACCCTAGAAATAAGAAACACATTTATACCGAAGGGATTTCAGCCTATCTTGGTTGCAATTTTGTACAGACCACTGCAAATGACTATAACCAGACATAATCCATTAATTCAGATCCCTTTGATCCCAGATCGGCTTCAGTCAATGCAAGACCCGTTCCAACAAGCTTTACGGCCTTGCATTGGAATTATTTACCTATAAAATAAAGTACATAATACAGAAATATTTTTAATGCAAGGCTATAAAAGCTGTTCGAATATTGTTTGAAGGGGCTTTGTACTGACTGAAGCCGATCTCCATCCCTTTTGGGCTTTGGCCATGTGGTATATGGGATGGACACAGAAAAGTCGCAAATGGAAGCGTCAATTCTGATTTCTGACCATGGACCTTATGGGCCGATCTGTCAGACCTTATCTTATGGGACAACCCACAAAAATTTTATCCACACCTACTCATAGAACGTTACAACTGTACATTGGGATCATCTTGTTATAGGGGAGATGTTCTTAATGTACGGTGTACAGCTGTAGTGTTCTATGGGTAGGTATACAATGTACAACTGTAGTGTTCTGTGAGGTAGGTGTGGGCAGTAGATCGAATTCATCTTTATTTTATGGGCCATTATTGTGATGACTCAGATTAGAATTTTATAGCCCTATAGTACAGGGGGAATGCATCATGATCGTGAAGTGATGCTAAATCCACGGGCAGGATGTAGTTTATAGGGAGAGGGGTAGTAGTAGGGGGGGGGGAATGGAATTCAGAATTCTGCATCGGGTGTTCCCCTACTTCTCCGTTATTTTTATTAATGACTTGCCAAAAAGTCAGAGATAAAATGGTAAGCGGTTTCCCCTACTCAACCCTCCAAACACCGTCGTATTGAGATCCAGTCAGCGTTTATATCCTTTCTCACTGGTCAAAGCCGGAGAGCTCTAAGCAATCCCGAACGTGCAGGCAAGCCCAACCCAACCCAGACCCAGGTTTCCAAAACGACGACTGAATTACTTTAAATAGTTCAAACTACGTCACTCTCTGGACTCTGGCCCTTCTTCTGTTAGTGTTCCCTCCCTCTCCCCCTCCCTCTCTCTGGTGTGCTAAACGCTTGAAAGTTGAAACGCTTCAGAGAGATCTGGGTTTAGCTAGAGAGAAGGATGGCCGCCTATCCACTGAAGCAGCTGCTGCTGCTGCTGGGTTTTCTTCTCTTGGTGGGAATAAGCAGTAGAGTTGATGGTGCAACAACTAAGAAGGTCATGAAAAAGATCACTGCAATAAATAAGAAAGGCCCCTACTTGGGTGTTGTGGTGCCAAATTCCTTTGAGATGAATCCTCTTCTGCAATCCGGCAGCTTTGTAGTTGATGAGAAGTTTCCTTACCTGGATTTTTCAGGTAAGAGAAAGATGAACCATTCACCAGAGAACTGAAATATCTTCTTCCCTTTTTTTTTCACTTGATATTTCGAAAACTTTTATGGGTGTGTTGGATTTGTGAACTGTGATACAACTGGGCTAAGTTTCGATTGCTCTTTTCTTCTTTCTTTTATTTTTCCTTTCTTTGGTTACTATTTTTCATATGGAATTAAGGATTTATAGCTCCTGTTCTTCTATATAGGAAGAAGATTTCGTGTTGGAAAGTTGGAAGGAGAGAAGGTTATTGTTGTCATGACAGGATTGAGCATGGTATGTCAAAGAAATTTTCAGCTTTTCTTTATGTTTATTCCAATTAATATAATATATTATAATACTGTAAATCATGTATAAAGAGGTTTTAGAGCGTTTTAATTATTTTCTTGTTTTGCATTAGCTTAATGCAGGCATTACCACACAGCTGCTGTTGAGTCTATTTAGGGTGAAAGGGGTTGTGCACTTTGGAATTGCAGGAAACGCAAACCCAGAACTTCAAATTGGAGATGTCACTATTCCTCAATATTGGGCTCATACTGGACTTTGGAATTGGCAGGTATGGAATTTATTTATTTATTTGTCTTTGTTTGGTAAATATTTAATTAATTGTTTTTTTTTTCTAATTTAGGGTAAACCCTTTAGTTACTACTTTTGTTTTACAACAAAGATCCTCCTGAAATTTGGGATTCTAGTACTTTGCTTCCACCATTAACATTCCATCAGTTAGCTCTATGGAATATTCTGTTAAAACATTTCATGAGACTATTTTGTCCTTTTAATTTAGTTATTTTTAGTACTAACTCTCTCATGTTTTTCTCAACTATCCTTCAACAAAGTTTATCTTAGAATGCCTTGAGAACGACTTATATGCTTTAGAATGGTTATTTTCATCATTTTGATGTTTATTTCTGTAAGCCCATAAAATCTTGAATGTGCAAAAGTGTTATCACCCCCTAAATACGGTGTGGCTATATGCAATTTACCCTTTAATTATAAATGTGAATGTCTTAAGAGTTGAGAATTAATCAAGTAGGAACAACTCTGGTCTACTCTTAAAACTGGTGGGGTTAAACATGAAACTTTATTACAGCCCAAACCCTTTAAGGAGTCAGTTTTGTTTTTCTGTTTTCACTTGAAGCTACAAGTAGCACTTTTATGCTAGTTTCTTAGCGTTTCCCACTCTATCAACTTGAGCAGAGGTTTGGAGATGGTCCTGATGATGAACTAGCTTTGGAGTCTAGTGGAGATTACACAAGAAAAATTGGGTACCTCAAATTTTCTGATTACAACAATGATACAGAAAAGGGCAAGTCTTCAGAAAACCTCCTCAATAGTGTGTGGTATCAACCTGAAGAGATCTTTCCCGTGGATGGAATTCCAGAAGTAAGACAGCATTCCTTTTGGGTTCCTGTTAGCAATCACTACTTCTCAGTTGTAAAGAAACTTGAGGTATGTTTTTCTCTCTACTCTCTCTCAATCTCTTATTACAAGATAGGGTTAGCTGAATGCAACAGCTGTACAGCAGGCTGTAGAACCAATGATAATGCCCCCCACCAGTCCACAGCTGGCTAAACAGCTGTTGCATCCAGCCAATCCAAATTAATAATTGTGGTCCCATGTATTTTATGACTGGCATGAAGCATTATCATTGGTTCCACAGCCCACTACACAGCCATTGCATTCAGCAATCTGCATTAATAATGTATACACTTTTCGCATTTTCTTTATATCACTTTAAAAGCACCAATAGTCTCAAGAATACTTTTGAAAATTTTCTAAGGAAGAAATAATGCTTTCTATTTGGGGATCCACCAATGGATAATCCATTGGTAACAGATCTAGAGTGATCAATACATGTTTGGATGAGGTGTGTGAAACTTGGGTTGGGTTGGGCTCTATATTTGTTATAGTTGAATGGGTCTGAACCTTAGCCCAAGCCCAATGTAATTGAAATTCTTCAAATTGGGTTTCTTTCACCATCATTGAAATATTATGGGTTTGTTTGGCCTCAGGGTATGGAGTTGGAGGGCTGCATCAATTCTACTTGTTTGCCAAGGACACCTAGAGTGATTAGAGTGGAGAGGGGAGCCAGTGCCAATACATTTGTTGATAATGCGGCTTATAGGCAATTCCTCAACTCCAAATTCAATGTAACTGCAATCGATATGGAAAGCGCTGCAGTTGCTCTCATCTGTCTTCAACAAAGGACTCCTTTCATTGCTATTAGGGCTCTCTCTGATTTAGCTGGTGGTGGTTCTTCTTTGTCCAATGAAGCCGGAATGTTTGCTCCATTAGCGGCTCAAAACGCAGTTAGTGTTTTGCTTAGATTTGTAGCTTTATTGTTTTCGTAGAAAGAGAGGCATCCTGTCCTCAGCAAAATATTTCTCCTTCAATCACATTTGTATCTTTTATTCATCATAATATGATTTAAAATAAGGACATGTTTGTCAAACCAAAAATTAAAAACACGTTTCATGTTTTTGATTTAAGAAATCATTTGTTTTCAAACTAGATGGTTTTAATTTGTTTTTGGAACTCACAAGAAGAAAGATGACTCACATTGAAGAGTACCCCCTTAAAATTCTGCTTGTTTGTAGTGTAAATCTGAACTGGATACAAATTATGCACCCGATTCAGTTTTGCATCCACAATTTTGTTATTATAATATGTCCTCCTAATTGGTGCAAAACTTGCACTTATTTCATTTACACACGTTGATGTGATGGCATAAATTTTGCATTCTAAAAACTGATACAAAATTTACATCACCTTCCTCCTACCTTGGTTCCCCATCATATAATCACTTCCTACCTTATTTCTCCAAAACAAATTACTTTCTCCCTATTTCCATTCTCTTTTCATATAAAGTGGGGACAAAATCAAATCTGAAGAGCTATCTAAAGTAAACCACCATTTGCACTCTCATGCATATACACCAAAGCAAATGAAATTTGCACCAAGCTTCCATCAACCCCACGTGAAAAAGACATTAAAACCCTTTCCCAATGTGCAATGTTCCTGATGTGCTGCTATGAGGTTAGCATGGGGAATGCCTTGTGGGGAACCAATTCCCATTCAATCACAATGGTTGAAGTCCAGATTTGCTATCTATAAAGACAAATCCATTTCTACTGACCACGATACATTGGCCAGAAGACCCTACAGCCGCACATCAACCTCTCTCGTACTTGTATGTTGTAATTTATGGGAGATGTTCTTGATGTGCGGTTGTAGCATCTTGTGACTAGCTTGTGGCCAATGGTAACATACAAGTACAAAACATATTCTACATGTGTGGCTATAAAATGCGGCCAACTGGAAACAAATTATGTACCCCCTTTAGCCTTGAGTTGGGATATGCTCCGCACAGTGACCTCACAGCTACACCCACAGTATATATGAAACCATGATTTTTAAAACTGACCTGGTTACCAGGTCGAACGATCTGATCGTTCGAACCAAATGTTTGGCCCGTTTTGATAAAAAAATAAAAAAAAAACGATCATAACCGTTCGAACGATTCAAATGGTTCAAACAGTTAATCGCCCGGTTCAATGATTCACTGACCAAAATCAATGGTTTTTGGGGAAAATGGAACCAATCACCTGACCGATTCCTAGTTTTTCCGATCCGACTATCCGGTCCGATCCGATCCGATTTTAAAAACCATGTCTGAAACATCTCCAATGAATAATAATATAGACATACGGAAAATGTTCCCAATGTGCAATACTTGAACATCTTGAGAGATCGGTGTGAGAAGCACTCTCTAAAAGAGCAGATCGATACTCTTTAGCCTTTCGCATGGAACTAACTCGTAAACCCAGGAGAGGAGGAGCAGGATGCATGATACATTGTTTATCATATATAACATCACGAATGCAAGTGTACAAGTTCCACACAAACAAGTGCACAGATCTCGGATTTGTTCAAACCAGACCACCCCTTTTGGTCCTTCCTCATGGAACTCTTAAACCCGCGACAGGTGTTGGACACATGCCACATTGTGTGGATCCGTTTGGTAATGGCTGAACTTAATGACCTTATCAAGCATTTAATGTAATAATAAAATATTTCAAGGGTCACAGTTAACTTAAAATATATCATTCAACCATTAACAACTATTATAAAACAATTATAAGGTAAAATACTTGAGTGGACGTTTTTTTGGGTAGATAGCACAAGGTTAGACACCAATGTTTTCAACCCGTCGTTAACGCGACCGACCAAATCATTCAAATCATCATCCAGTTAGGATTCTGGTCCAGTTTATTTAAGATCCGTCAAATGGTCAAAAATTGTTGATTTGGTCAAAAATCGTTTGATCAAATCGGTTCAACCATTGATCCATTCGGTGACTGGGTCACGGGTTATGCATTCAATGCATGCAAAATTTTCAGAGGCCATAACTTTAAACTCTAATGTTTGATTGGGGTGATTTTTTTTATTTTGGGTGACTTTTCAAGATCTATGTGCTCCAAGGGGCCATAGCTGCCTTGCCCCTCTATTTTCGCAAAAAAAAAAACCCTAAACCCTTCCTTGACCTCAAATTGCAATTTTTAATATTTTTATAAATAAAATAATTAAAAACTGAATTAAAAAACATAAATTAAATATAAAATAATACATATAGCATATCTAAAACATACTTATACATTATTTATTGCTAAAATATATATTTATACACATATATATGCATATACATATATATAATATGTATATAATATATATTATATTATATACAAATTATATATTATATATAATAATTATATATATAATTTTATTTCAATTTTATTATATTATTTCATTTTATTATTGCATATATAAATAATTGTATACATTAAAATTCATATAAAATAAAATGTTAAGATCTTTTTTAATTTGTTGTATGTATTTTTTAATTTATGTTAAAATTTTCATTATTTTTTCAAAAATTAAAAAAAAACATGGCTTGGCCCGGTTTGGCCCAATGCTCGACCCACGAACCATTCCAGCTTGTGGCATGGCACAGGCCCATGCGAGCTCGGGTCGTGGGTCGTGCTAGTCCGACTCCCCAAAATATCCCAGGGGAGGGAAGCATGGCTTGACTCAGCTTGTAGGCCGACACAACATGGCCCGCACTTTGCATGGGCCGCGTGCCGGCCATGCTGTGCCGACCCAGCACGGCCTGATTTACACCTCTAGGGGTTCCTAAAATAACATCTTGCCTTAAGTTCCTTACCATAAGGAATGTGGTCTTTAGGCAGGTGCCTTGATTAAAAATATGAGTTGTAGGGATTTAGTGATTTTGGGCAAATTTTTTATAGTATATTAATAGTTTTTATGGTTGCCTGGCCTAACCTGACCCACACCTCAAGTGTAATAATATTTTTTTGGGCCTAGGACATGGACAAGTATGCCCGTGTTAATTATAAAATTATAATTTTTTACAATTTAAATTTTATTTAATTTTAGTCTATTTAAAAAATATATAGCATTTTCATATATAAATAGATATTTATGTAAATTTTGTTATTTATATAATATTTATCATATATGCATATAACTTCTAAGTTGAGCTTAGGGGTTGCTTAGCATAGGCCCTATCCTCTTGGGTCGTCATTGGACTCTAAAAGTATGATACCCAGTTAGACTTCGAATGATATTATCCCAAATTTGGATGTTAGAACTTGCATCTTATTAATAACTCAATTGGATGTGGATTTAACCCCATCCAATTTGATTAAAATCCACGTCTAACAAAATTATTATTTTATATATATGTAGTATAATTATGTATACATATAGATATTATGTGTAATTATATAAAATTTATAATTATTAAATATAATATTTTATATTTATATGCATTTATTATACACATATAATTTATTATTTGAAATCCAACATAATAATAATAAGATGTGGATGTAGATCTAGAAATTTCTTAATCGGATGTTGATGCGAATGTAGCTGGATATGATTTTAGTCCAATCCATTTACAGCAATATTGCACACATTATGTGCGGGCTTGGTGTAGATTTGAGCTAGACCTAGCTCAAAAGAAAATAGTTGCTTGAGCCTAAAAATTTATAGGTCTAGTTGGGTTGGGCTAAGTTATTAATGATTTGTTACTTTTTATTATTAATTTTAATTATATTATCAATACTAATGTTTATTAATTTCTTAATTTTTTTTATTAATCGCATATTCCTATTGCTTGCATTATGTTATGTGTGGGATTGGTGTACATCCGTGCTAGACTTAGCTTAGAAGAAAATAGTTGTTAGTCCAAAATATGTAGGTTTAGCTAGGTTCGGCTAAGTTATAAATGATCATCCCTAAGTAGAAGGAGCCTTATGACATTTCTAATTGGGTTATTATTAGTTTTATTATTTGAATTCATTTTTACATTTTATATGGAAAGTAAATGGTTTATTTTATTATTTTTCATAATTTTTCTACTTTTTATTATTAATTTTTATTATCTTATTAATATTAATTATCTTTAAATAGAATTAAATTGTTTTTTAGTTTTTTAATTTATGAACTAATTTTTATTAGTTTTTTAGATTTTAATAGTTACTAAATAAAAAGAATAAACAAAACAAAATATGACATTAGAACACAGGTTATATGTGCAATATATCGAATCCATGTTTAAATCATAATATTATTAAAACTATCAATTAATATTTCTTGTATTTATATTTCTTATTTTTATTAGTATTTATTAAGCTTAATTTTTAAGTGGAATTGCAAATTTTTAATTAACATTTTAAGGAAACCAAAGATAAACGTATTTTAATTTTTACTAAGTTTTGTTAATAGTTATTGTTTTTAAGTGGAGGTTTAGTGGATTTCCAAATTAATATTTTTTTAAATAATATTTTATTTTTGTCGTTTTATGTTTGATTGTTTAAGTTCAACCTATTTATATTATTTGATTTATTAATGTTTTACTTTATTATGTTGAATTACTATTCCCACTCTCTTTCTCTCTCTCTCTTAAATGTAATAATAATATGCATAGAAATAAGAGGTCTTGGAAAACCCAAAGGTCTCTCTCTCTCTCTCTCTCTCTAATAGTGTACATCTTTATTGATCCAATCAAAATTGGCAGTGATTGCTTTTTATATTTTTAAAACAAACGAAAATAAGAAAATACAAAAAGGAGAAAATAGATAAATAGCTTCCCTAAAAGTATAGGCATGCTGGCATGGCATGTCTTATATATATATTAAAAACACAAAATATCATACATTAAAGGATAATAAATATTCTAAATCATATGCCACACATCAAACATGTAATAAATAATCTAAATCATATGACATTCATGTTATTGTTCTTAGATAATTTTTGGTAATTACTGATATTTCTAGCAAATTTTTGGTAATTTCTACTATTTTTTAAAAGTATTTGGTAATTTTCTATTAATGTTTGACATTTTTTGGAAATATTATTGGATGATTTTTGGTAATTTATC